TCCTTGCACATTAACACCACCCACCACAAGCATCCAATTGACACCTCCTGCGCAAGTGGGAAGTGCGTGTCTCAACTCGGTCTCCGTGCGGCTCCTGTTGCATGGGTGGCTGAAGTCTGAGACTCTTCCTGCGCGTCAAGCTCCGCGGATTAGAAGGCTGCTGACTGACGCCTCAACTCGATCCACGCAGTCCGTCCACCTGTGTGTGTTTGCGTGGATTGGCGGACTGGTGGGTTGAGAGCCGGGCTGAAAAAAACTCCTTCCACGGCACTCTCACGCATGTGAGAAGTACGCTGCTCAATCCCGTTGTGTGAAAGCCTCGTGCTTGTGTTTGGGGGACCAGATCCTGCATGCGGCGCGCGCAGACGAAGTCACAAGACTATGTCAGCCACTGCTACCATTCCCTGCTCCAGTCAGCTGACCATCTCGGACAGTGGCTGAGACAGGGGAATGGGAAGGGCGAGTGAGGTCGACGACTCAGCACATTCTACTCACTATAAACAATTTTACGCGCTCGAAGCTATCACAGTACGCTAAAAGCCGTAGCTTGGAAGGTTGCCAACTGACGGGACAACTTGGGCCTCGCAGTCGACCCACTGTTGTGGGCTTCTGTGGAGTGGCTGGCTGATGGTCTGAGAGTCAGGCTGCAATGGCTCCTTCTTAATGTGGTCTTTATGGCACTCTCACTCCGCAGTATCCAAGCCAGGTGTGAGGGCACGCCTAGGCGCGGCTTCGGCCGTGCCAACCTCCATTCTCTTTGTTGTTGGTCAAAAACCTGGTTATTTTTTGTGTGAACCAGGGGGTGTGGTGTGGAACGCCAGGGTGTGGGCCCGACCGCGCCATCCACCTGCGCCTTCCCCCGTCTCTGGTCTTCTTGATACCGGGTCCATGTGGAGGAGGAAAGAGTGCGGCAGATGCAGCGCATGTCGACGCCTACTATAAATCACGCGCAAGTCACCGCCCCTGCTCTCATCCTGCTGTGGAGCACACGATGGACATCGTTGGATGCGAAAGTCGAACAGGCGAACTGTCAGACTGTCAATGTCCAACATGTGCCCCACGGCATGGAGCGCACAGGGACGGCGACTTAGGCATGAATTAGCTTATGATGATGGCAGACGTGGCCTGCATTTACCTGCACTCTGCCCTCTCCTACCCACCGGAATCCAGTGTCAAGACAGAGTCAGGAGGACCGGAGACGGAAGACGGCTCGATGATTTACGAACATAAATAATCCGCCTAGGCGTGTCACATACACACCAGGTCGGTGCCAGATGGACCAGTTTTTCACACAAACAACAAAGGGGCCGGGTCGGACCTCGCCCACCATCGACATACAAGTCAAGTCCAGCAGCGGTGACCTGCGTTTGAATTCTTTTCTTATTAAACAGACTATTGCGACCTCTCTCCTGCCTCAACTGCCTTGTTCTCGTGGCGAGACAAAGTTAAAATGCTCGGAGGTGGACGGGAAGCAGTGAGTTGAACAGTTTGTCGGCACGTGCCACACACAAGCTGCTTACCGCGCCACGCACCAAACCACGCTGAGAAGTTTTTCGCCTAGGTGAGATGTTCATGGTCTTAAATGAGACGTTTCACGTGCCATATCTGTGGTGACCAACTGATTCACATGCATGCCGTAGGAGCCAAATGTCGTCTGTTGTTAATGCCTCGCGTGTACTGTATTGCATTAGCCTGGGGACGAAGCGCATATGTGTGCATGGACTTTGATCGCCTGCAGCCATTCAGTGAAGATTTCAGCGTCGAGCACTCGCCAAGCCGGTGCCTAATCACTCGCGGCTCAAGCAGCGAATTTATAAGGAAATCCAGACGGATACAAGGCGACATGGGTACCCGATCACACAGGCAGCCACGGCAGCAGACTGCTAAAGGTATGCCCTTCAGGAACACGAATATGTCCGTGGGTTCGATGCAACTTTCATTAACGATGATTCTGAGCCTGCTGTATTTATCGGATGGCGCTTCAGCGTGTTGGTAGTCGGCCCGAAGTTTGAACAGCCGAAGGCAAAGAGGTCCATGCACCGCTACATGCATGCGTCCATTGTGATGTTAGGCCTGCAATTATCTTCGAAGAGGTCATAAACACCGGCCTTGGAGACTCACGTGGTTGATTGTATGCGTCGTATGTTTAGTAGTTGTTCAACAATTTGGTTGGCGATGTTGATTCCTCGCATATTATCATGGCAAACGCCCACCTACCTTTCAGCTAAAAAAGCTTGATGAGGGTGAGTGCGAATACACAACTCTAAATCAACAAATTTTTCACCGCGAACGCTTCCAAGATTGCCAATTATTCGTTACACGAGTCATTGTTCTGCCGTGAGACTGTCGCAAAATCTGCGTAAATCGCAACGAACGTCCGGATTCCAACATTCTTTTTCAGAGTTTATCGGTGTTCACTGTGTCGAAGGCCTTTTCCAGATCCTGGAGGGGGGGGGGTTACAAAGTATGCTTAATGTCTGTTTAGATATATATGGAAGTTGACGAGTTGCAACGGTCGTGTTGAAGTTTCTACGAAATATTAGGAATATGTCTTGCTTTAGAGGAAGGTCCAAACTGTACAGTAATGCTAAGACGGAGATTGTGCCTGTAATATGAAGGCCATCGTTGGTGACCACTTAACGAATTCGGTTGATGGCAAAGGGGTGCAGCAATCCTAGGGACAGTGAGCTCATTTGCCGAGCCGTCGTCACGCCAGCGTCCTATACGGATGACGAAATCGCGGCCATTAACGACTCGAACGCGGACTGACAAACTATCATCGCATCAATTACGATCCCAGCGGTGATTGTGAGAGCTGTTAATTATAGCACGCATACGGTCCCACGGCAGTAACGTGCTATAAATACTGCTCCTTGTGCCACCACTACCCTTATCTGCAACTGTCTCTGATGATGGGTTCGAGTGAGAATCCGAAACGTCGCGCCAATAAATTTTATGTTCCAGCGATCGCATCTTCGTCTTCTAAACTGCTTCCTGGAACTCCTCTGTTCGCTTCTAGCGATGATTTCTTCGCAGATTGTATAGGGGTGCTTGAGAACGCTGTAAATGTGCGCTGCCCAGCGATCCAGGGTCTGCGACTTCGCTGACAGTAGGGTTGTGTCGTCTTAACTGGGCAGTGGAACAGTTCAGTTATCTCGACGGCTGCAGACTGCTTTGATCGCCGCGGGGAAAATTTTCATCACGCCTCAGTCGACGTATTCTTGAATTTCTCCGGCTCTTCGAGTAAGCCAAGCATTGTGCCCCCGTTTCAGCCCGTGGTCCACTAGTCTTCGCCTTTTGGCGTTAGCTTTGTCGTTAAAATGAGCCAAATGCACTCTCTTTTCCTGGGCGAGTTGACGTCGGACTTCTCCGTCGTTAGCGTTCAAGTGGTTCTAAGGTAGGCGTAACGGGCACCCACCTCCATTTGGCCTTTTTGGAGAAATGGATTTCACTAACAGCTACGGTGCCAATCCCGTGGCATGCGGTGGGCTAACTACCAGAACTGCCCCCCCCCTTCTTGTTGGCTGACCGCTAGGTTGTCAAGACGCGAACGAACGCTCCAGCCTGTCAGTGCAGTGCCTACAGAGGAATGCCGGAGACGAAAACGAGCGTGTTATTATCCATTATTTTTGATCACCTTTCACAGGCATAACCAAAACCATAGTGAATGACCAAGTAAGCCAACGCGTTGACTGAAAAACTACAACGAGCCCATGGGCACCTATGGGATCTAGCGGAAATGCGAGTTCCTGGGTACGGTTCAGATGAGGTAGATGCAATCGCTGAAATAGGAAATTTGTTTGTGCGGCAATTAGTATTCATATCCGAACCCACTATCATAAGGAACATCATACAAAGGTATTGAGTACGCAGGGGTTGCAGGATTTAGAGGATGCAGTTGATATGCCACCTCATACCTATCCGAATTACCGGCTACCCCTCGGTCATTGCGACGACGGTTAGACCATCGATTCTGATAATGTCTATCGTGAACTGCACAGCATTGTTAGAACATGAACGGGGACTTTAGCGTGAATTAATTCAAAGTCATAGTAGACTTGTGCAGCACCTGCCGCGCTATCTCCTCCTCCCAACCAATGCCATGACAGAGTCAGGAAGACCGGAGGCGGGGGAGGGCGTAGGTGGCTGGCACAGCTGGACCTGCACCTGGACTACCACTCCACACACCCTCGTCCAAAACACACACTTTACCAGGATTTTAATCAACAACAACAACAAACGAGGAGGGTCGGCAGGGATCCCAACTGGCGAGGCGCGAGACTAAAATGGGCCTGTCACCGCACGCCGAATTTTGGCATTTGTTATGGGTGCTCATTGTCGATAACGTCTGCCAGAATCCGATGCGGCTCCTGTGTTGGTCCATCGTATCTACCGCGTCGCCCATTTTAGGGGCCGCTGACAATGCTAGGTCATGCTTGAGAGAGTGCAATACCTAATTCCCTTTCAACTATCTTTTTGTCTAATTTCCGTAAATCAACTACTCCTATTACATGGAATTGACGTGCTCCCTAGGATCGTCACGTTTAAAACTACAGCATTACACTGTCTTTTGGGCCGATGAACATGACCGATTCAACCGTCATCATAGGCAGTATGTAACCATGACGTGTCAGCTCGGCCGTCGCAAACGGTGATATATACCGTGTGTCACACAGATTGGTGGACGCTGGACCGGCGACTTGCAAAATGCGCAGCGTCCGCCACATTCTCTTCTCCAAACCAACAAATCCAATTGGCTCCCAGAATGTCCACTTACACCGTGGACACGTTGGAGACGGTTGTGCGTTGGCATTGCGGGGTGGGCGCAGCTGAGATTTGCGTGTTTCGCGTTTGGCTTTCGCGGCGACAATGCGGTTGGCTTCGTAGATCGCAGCACCTGCCTTGACTCACCTCCTCCATGTCGGTCGATCTCGAGCGAGTTCTTCGCAGTTGGTCGGGTTGGTTTGCAGACACTTCAGAGAGGACTTCAGAGTATCCTTCTATCGATGGGCCTGACCTCCTTGACGGCGGGAATTCGTGGCGACGTCTCCATAGAAGAGTCGTCTGGGTGGCCGTTCATCGTCCATCCGCATGAGGTGGCCGCTCCAACGCAGTTGCAGCTGTCTCAGCACGGCGTAGATGCTGAGAATTACCGTCGCTTCAGTACGCCAGTGTCTGAGATTGGGTCCGGCCGCCTCAGCTTCAGTATGCGGCGAAGACAGCTGAGGTGGAAGTCGTTGAGTCGGCGTGCCTGCTTCGTGTACACCGTCCAAGTCTCTGCCCCATACATCAGCGTCGGGAGGATGACGACCTTGTACACCTTCAGTTTCGTGCTGAGCTGGAGACCGTGACGATTCCAAACTGTGCGTTGAAGACGACCGAAGGCTTGACTGGCCTTCGAAATCTGGAGGGCTACTTTGTCGTCCATTTTCGTGCTGCGGGTGAGGTTACTGCCCCGATAGGGGAAGTTGTCCACCACTGCGATATATACCGTATGTCACACAGTTTGGTGGACGCTGGAACGTCGACTTGCGAACTGTGCAGCGTCTGCGCACTTTCTTCTCCGTCATTTGCCTGGGCCCGATGGCAGGACAACTGGAATCGGGAGAGGGCGCAGGTGGTTGACAGCCCGACTACGCACGCCACAAGTGCCTGGTTTTCACGGAAACAAGAAAGGAGCAACTCAGATCCCCATATGAGTGGGAATGCCATAGAGGCCGCAGTAAGACGAATCCTCTGCGGCCTTACTCCTCGTCCTGAGAGGACCGATTTATCCTGTTAGTTGGCAGCCTTCCATGGCACGGAGTTAGCACGCCGCCATGGCTTAAAAGCGAGCTGGCTTGTTTATAGTGAGGAAGTGAGCTGAAGAACCGTGGAAACACGGTCTCTAGGATCAATCTAACTCCATCCTTCTTCTCCCATGCACGAGTCTGTCGTTCGAGCCGGTCAGCCAGCTGATGCAATGATTGCGCGCAGTGTCTTACAGAGCTGTAACAGCCCGTCTGCATGTGCCACGCACGACCTGGATCCACGCACAGAGCACCAGGCTTTAACTCAAAGGGGCAGGTGTCCGGTACCATAAGTTATTTAGCAGGTGCAGAATTCGATAGGAAAGTGCCTATCATGGTTCGCGAATGCTGACTTTCTATCAAGTACAGAGTGGCTCGTGGAGGAACTACTGACTTACCCCATCTGGAGATTACCACAGACGATGTCAACAGGAGCGACAACGACTTTCATTTTCATTTACAATATGCCACGCAATACCAGCCTCTGTGGTATAAATTCTAGAATGAAGTCCGCTAAAAGACAACTCCGAAAGTGACAGTAAGCCCGTTAAAATAATGCTTTGTTTACAGGTTCAAACATGTACTGTACACTCCACACTTTACCGAATCTCAAAAAGGTCAAAAAGCCCTACTTGTCTCGACTTAACGCACATAAGCGATGACAAGTCCAAGATAACTGAAACCAAAATAACCGAAATAAGAACTTCTGAAGGACAAGTCCAAAAGTTCCTTGCCCCACACAAACAGGGCCTGTTGCTGACCAAAAAACTCATATTGATCCAACTGTGAAAAACTTGGCGCGTCGGTGGGATTCGAACCCACACAGTAAGGGAAAGGCTTTAGTACAGCCAACGCTCTAACCACTTGGGCCACGAGGCCCCGCCGGACGACGCGAGTTTAATCACATTTGGGTCAAGTTACCCGCCCAACCTACTGCAACGTCTGGAATCCACCAAATCTCGCGTCGTCCGGCGGAGCCTCGTAGCTCAAGTGGTTGTACTAAGTGGTTGTACAAGTGGCTGTACTAAAGCCTTCCCCTTACTGCGCGGGTTCGAATCCCACCGAGCCGCCGACTTTTTCACAGTTGGGTCAATATTATTCAAAACCTGCCATAATATCTATGAATGACCAAAAAACGTTAACTGTGCATGCAGTAATCAAGTATTTCAATCAGAAGTAACGCAATAAGCCAACATTTCACGGGAAACTTGTACACACTGAAGCCGGACTCAGTCATAATGGACCAACAGAACGCGGTAAAGTTACGACACCAACGTAGGTGCGCCTACGTCTATAGATTTAGAGGACGATCCAGTAAGCTCCCACTCAGAAAGCACTGCTACTGGTCACTCTTTAAACCAGATTGTCTCGCGATTCCGGCTATGATGTCTAACTTGGGGGTATGCAAAACGCCCGCCAGGATATATTTTTTTTCTCGTTAATCCAATTCCCATGGTTGAGCTAACTGACATCTTCCCCCAGATCGTTTAATCACCTGCATTTTATCGACTGGCACTGTGGCTGAGACTGAGCCAACTCGTACACTAGGTCTAGATGACCTTGCAGGCAAGGGTCTCCTCAGCTCGGTGTCGTAAATGGTTGGATCGTCCAGGACAACAATCATTTATTGCATCACCAACCAATGGTACCAACCTATGGTTCACGCTACTTGACCAACTTTCCCAGCGTCGTGTAACCCGGGGGACAACTCGTGCAACTGGTTGGCGGAGTTCGACAACGCATGACAAGTTTCAAATTCCGTCTTTTTCACCGATGGTGCTCTAGCGATTGTTATCCAAAGGGTGCGGGGACAGGAAACGGCGATATCAGGTTCACAGCTTACTAAAAGCAATGCACACTGCACCACATTTGACCAGCCATTGTAACCGTTATAAGTGTCCAGGAGCGGAATTAAACGGACACATTCATCCGGTCTCTTTTGACCTTCTTTGAGCGGCTAACTCGGGCAAATGCGTAGACAGATGAAAAAATTCTTTAATCGCATTTTAGGAGCTTGCGTGAAGTATACTACGAAAAGGAAGTCAGATAAGAGTCTGTTTACAAGACTTCTGTTGAGAACCCTTTATTTCCTATACCTCGAGTCATTAGGCTCCGTCTTCCTTCTTCTTTTTCTTTTTCTTTTTCTTTTTCTCCTCCTTATCAGCTTCACCAGCCGCCGCAGTTTCGTCTTCCGGCTGAGTCACCGGTTGAGTCGCCAGTTCAATCGCCGGTTGAGTCTCAGATTTAGTCTCCGACAGCTCCGTCTTCGTGGAAATCTTTGCTTTCACTTCCTCCTTCGTGTAACTCAGCGGGTTGCGGAATATTCGTAAGAGATGCATTGAGAAAACTGGGTAGATAACGGGATAGAGTTCTAGGAGGTAGAAGGTTAGCTTAAATGCGAAGGTGTGCGGGCCAAAGTCAAAGGCGGGTGTGAAGTTGTAGAAAAAGAAGCCGGACATGTGCGGTAGGCTCAAGAATCCAAACATAAGGCAGTCAAAGTAGTAAAGTTTCAAAAATTCACCGTAAGCCACACGGTCAGGTATCCCATCGCTATCCGCTAGGCCCATCAGAATTACTCTGTAGCAGTATCGAATTAACACAAAGGGCAAACTGAAGAAGGAGACAAAATGAACCAGGACAGCCAGTTTCAACAGACCTGTGGAGGACTCAAACTTGTCTTCGAGGAAAAGAACGTCGGCGCAAGTTGATTCTCCTCTGTGGTGTTCTGATTGCATTCCATGCAGCACACCTGCCAGGAGGGCTTGTAATCCATAGGCAATGACAACAACAATCACTTGAAGGCGTATTGACAATACAATCCGGTACTTAGTTAGTATGAACCACTCGAAGTAGTATCCCGCTTGCATCGCATTAAGACCCACACGGAGTGTCATTGTCACCCAGAACCAAAAGTTAACTGCGTAGAGGACGCAGACTAACTGTGACGAAGCTGAAGGTTCAGTGGGCAGTCTGGGATGCCAGCTTTGCATCAGAAGAAACAAACAAGACATCAAATCTATGCTAACCTTCATCGCGGCAAACCAAGTGTTACTATGACGTTTTCTTCCATGTTTAAACGCAGCTAAGACATAGAATCCTGCGGCTATGTTGAATGCGACCCCGAGTACGCCAAGAAACAGGGAAAGGACGTCCATTCTGGCCCTGAAACGTCCTGCCAAGTCATCCCCAGATTTATTGATCGTTAAGTTTAAAACTAAAGCCTAGCGTGCGAGGATTATTTGGCAGGAACCACGCGGTAATAATGGCAAACGTGGCCTATGCCTGTAAACCAGACGCTAAGGCCCCCAGTGCATTTTAGTGTGGCAATAAAAAATGCAGTATGGCATCGACATCTCCATTTGGTAAATTCTTCACGTTAAAAACGACCCGCCGGCTAAATGCTCGAAATGGCCTTCTTTCCGGTTTCTCAATCAGACTACACAGCAGACGAATTGGGGTTAGGAGGATAAATTACGATTCCAGTGTGTTCAGTGACAATATCCGGTTAGACACGGGTATGAATATCTAACCCCCGTAATACAAGTGGCCTTGAGGTAAATTCTAGAGGGGCAACTATCCCCGTTTCCTAACTTTAATTATAAACCTTCTGGTCCTAAACCTAAACTAGCCCTCCCATTCAACCCTAACCGCCTGTAATTTAGCGCAAGAACAACTGTAAAATTAGGGGTACTTGTAATCGTGTCCTACTTAGCATCCAACCAATCATGTTGGGAGATCGTCATTTTCTAAGTCACCTGCAAGCGGAACAAGGTGACATTCGCAATTGGGCATTAAAACATTCACCCCAAACTCTTCGGGTCTCGGTTCGGATCCCGCCAGTAGTTTCATCTATGCGGTTCAAGAATCGGTACGACTTGAAAACGTATCACTCTTGCCCCCAGGTGAGAGTCCATTCGGCAAAATCTAAAAACTCAAGAAGCATCACGGGCAATGAAAAGGAAGATTAGAGTAGTCATTTCCGGCTTGTTTGCAGTCATCAGCACACCATAATCAAATCCCGAGCCTTGGTGTACCTTAGGTTTGGGTCCGGTTTTTGAGTCAAGAACTTTGCCATTTGGGCCGCGAGCCCGTGTCCAGTTGACTGCGGCAGGGACTATCCACTGTCACAGAATTGGCACTCGCCCCTCTATTGCGTTTGGAGTACGGAAGACGGGCTATCCCGTTTTACCTTGGAGAAAGGAATGAAAAGACCTCTCGGTGGCTGCTGCGTTAGGGTGGTCAAGAAGCTTTAAGGTATGCGTCGGAGCAAAAGTACAATGCAATGCCTTCTTGAAAGTGCCTCCAAATGGGCATTAAGTTTATTTATTATCATCATTAGATGGTAAAAAATAGTGTCCACTTTTGATTGGTGACAGTATAGAGGATCGGAATTTGCGGCACCATAAAGTTCTTGGATGTTCGGATCTTTGCTTTAACACAATTGCTCCGCGAAGTAAGTGACCGCGGGCGAAAACCATACCCTTGCCGTTTTTTTTCTCCGCTACGATCGACAGATTAAGTTTAACTAGATGTCATGATGTCAGGCGTTTTCCGTTAAAAGTCTTTATGCAACTGTGCAACCAGAAAATTAGCCTGGCTTATAGTCCGGCGTTGGTTCGATGGTCTAAAAAGACGACATAAACGAGCAACTGAAGAGCTAGGACAGGATGGAAGGTGATTACAATGGATCCGAGTCAAACGTGACCATGTCTGGTTCAGCGACCCTCCCGCAAGTTGGTTTGATTAAACCACAAAAGCTGTTCCTTTTGTCTTCAAAATGGTGTAACATGAGTTACAAGGTACAGAGGTTTTCGTCATCGGGGGAACTGAAGTAATGTCCGCAACAAGTGTCGTCCTTGCATTCTACACCTGGAATAATCGAGTGTGTTCGGATGTATTGGTGTTCGTCCCCAGTTCCCTCGACGGGAATACGACGAAGGGAGGCTTTACAATACAGCGAATCAAAGGTGATTAGCGAACTGCGTGAACTACTCAACAGGGGATGGAATGGATTGCACGTTCCGCATGGCAGATTGGAAACCTGGCTGCACGCGTGCTGTCTCCCTCTACAAAAATAAATCGCTCCGTCGTCTAGCACAACCTAGCTCCTGGGCTCAGTAAGCGCCCGCCCAGACCACCGCCATCTGCAGAGATGGTTTCGTGCCAAACAACAACAGCGGGCGCCAAGAGATAGTGTGCCCAAGCAAGTTGGAGAAAACACCGATCGGAGATCACATCGAAATGTCATCGAGATTAGTAGAATGATGTCAAAGATACTGGATAATGTGTAAAAAAGTGCCAGGCGAATAAAAAAACCAAGTGTATTCGGGCAAAAGACCCAATAAAATCTGAGTGGACAATAGATAGTAGCATAGAAAAACAGGTTTTCGGTGAAGTTCTTGAGTAAAAACTACGAAGTTAGGCTTTTGGAGTGATCACGGGCACGAGGACGAGGTGTTCGAGTAACTGACAAATCAGGAGAGCACGTCCTTTTCACCCTGCCTTTGGAGGAGTTCAAAGTAACGTCCCTTGAGCTTCAGTAACTGTTCGTGAGTTCCCTTCTGAAAATCCGCAAAAAGGAGTCAATAACATAGGAGCCGCCAAAAGGATGATACCTAGGCTGTGCCCAGTAATCAAGCCAACAAAATATCAGATCCAACAACCATGGATTTTTCCGGTTAAACTTCGACTTCCTACACATGTTACACTAATGTCCCACCAACAGCACCATATTCAGAGGCCAAGCAGTAGATGTCTTCCGGCTTAAAAGTTTACTGGCTTCCCATGGTTTTCACGAACGTGCAATTGATTAACTCAAACGTTTTCTCAACAGTGCAAAACAGTCAACTATAACACTCATGAAATGTCACACAACTTATCTTTCTTCGACCGATTTCTTCAGTGTAGGTTTTCTACTCCCTAATCTGACAACCCTACACCCTAATCCAACTCGGCAAAATTCGAAGTAATAAAATCTAGGTGGTCATGATAGACGTTGGCTAAGTTTTGGTCACATAATTGGTCCACGAAATTCGACGTCGACGACGCGGTATCGTGAGTTACATTGTAAGCGAACCCAGTGCACGCCAAGAAAGATTATGACGTCCCGAGGGTGCATTGCAGACTAACACATGAGTTGTATGAAGCAGACCTGCACCACGCATCTCAGTGTCTCTTCATACACCTACAATGTTCAAATGAGAAGACAACGCTAAGATGGCTAGAGGTGGGCGCGAGCGGGGTGTCTAAAGCGATCTAAGACACCTGCTAGTCCCCAACTGCAAAGTAACAGAGCTTCCACCAGAAGTTCACGTGAGCGAAAGTTGCGTAAATGACGCAGTGGGAAGTGGTCATCGCAGTCTGGTCACCAGTCCCGAATACGACCGAGTTAGCTCGTCAGTTGACAAACCGAGCCATGGCTGGTAGCGCATCCTAATAGTCGAGAAGCGCGCTTGGATGTTCATTGCAAGGAAACTGAGCACTGAATCTGGGCCGGGTCAGCTTTACGCCCTCTCCTCTACTCGGTGGGCTAGTGGCTGGCCAAGGCCAACTGGATTGGGAATGGGACTGGATGCGGGGGCTGATGTGGCGCGAAGCCACCGTCCAATTCATGCCACCTGAAAGTCCTCAAATAGGATGAGCTGCCCGTCATTGACGAGCTGTGGGTGGTTTTAGTTGTTCCTTTCGTGTATAAGCATATAACAGAGAGGCCGATGCTGCGGGGGGTGTTTGCGGACAGTGTGGACAAGTAAGACGAACTTAAAGGGTTCTAATAGGAGCTCCTGACAGTGTTTTTTTCAGTCGCGCTACGATATATTGGTGGGTGTCCAATCACACTGAAGGGCCATCAAGCAATCTAGGTCAAGGTTGGTCTCCACTTGGAGAGATTTAATGGCGGCTTGGTTGGGGACTGTAAAGGTACAGTTGGCGGCGCCACTCTAGTACTCGGTCCAGTACTTCAGAATCCTTCGATTTCTCCCTTTCAGCAATCAGCCAGCTATTTCGTACCTCCTTTCTTTTCCGCTGCAGTCTTAAACGACATTGGAAAAATGCAGCCCGGTTTTGGGCTGTGTGGGTCCCCATGATGAGCGCATAGAGTTGGTTGTTCTCGGAGATCAGTCAATGTATTTTGTCGTCCTTATCATCAAACCAGTCCTGCTGTTTTTGAAGCGTGCAAGTTCGACGCCTTTGGTGGTAGTGGTGTGAATGGCCCTCTGTAGTTTCTGCTAACTATGCTCAACGTCTTCTTCCTCCAAGGTTAGTAGGCCACCCACTTTGATAGTGAGTTTCCGCCTGTGTTCTGGCGGAAACACTTATCATTAAACTTTGCGTTCCGTGGGAGTAAATTTGGCAAGAGCACCGCCGTCCCATTCAAATCGATCCGATAGCCTCAAAGTTCCACCTCTTTCCTGGTACATTGAGATGGGAGACGTAACCAGGTGAGGGGTAGAACTAGGGAATTGTCACCCGTACGCCAGGGTGATAACACTGGGGCGTCGGAGCACAAAGTGAAAAAAGTTGGATCGATGAAGAAAGGACGAACCTCTACAATGCGTCCCTTATGCAT